GCTTGCTGTGCCTCTGTCCCCCTTCATCCCTGCTGTCCTTACAGGGAGCTCAAAGTGGGAATCCCCATCACAGATGAGAATGGGAACCGCCTGGGTGAGTCCACGGCAGCTGCTCAGAAGGCCATCTTCCAGGTGGTGGTGTCCCGCATCGGGATGGCAGCCCCGGCCATGGGTAAGTGCGCAGCCCCAGCCCTGGCCATGTGAGTCAGGTTCCATGGAGCTCATTTCCTTTTCTTTTGCCCCAGCCATCCCCCCGGTGATCATGAATGTGCTGGAGAAAAGAGCCTTCCTGAAGGTACAGGGGCAGGAGAGTGGGTGTAGGGATAGCCCACTAGCACTGTGCTGGAACCCTGCATGGGAACAGCACCTGCCTATCCCACTGACACCAAACTGTCCCCTACAGCGGTACCCGTACCTGAACGCTCCCCTGCAGGTTGGCCTGGTTGGACTCTGGTAAGTGACCCCAGGGTGAGTCCCAGGGAGGTGGGATGAGGGTGATGCCCTGTGCCAGGAACGGGTTTGCACTTGGTAGGACAGATGATGCCTCAGCATCCTTGTTGGCCCCACACTGGGGACTGAGGTCTGGGGCTGGGAGGGCCCCTCCTCATCTCCTGGCTGCCCCCACTGCTCTCCTTGTCTTCTCCATGCAGCTTGGTGTTTGCAACCCCGCTGTGCTGCGCACTCTTCCCACAGAAGAGGTAAGGATGGGCATTTTGCCCAGCTCTCTGGAGGTGCTTTTGCTCCTTTCAAGCCAAAAGCTTGCAAATGCCCCCCCAACGCTCCATGTCTCTTGGCAGCTCGATGCAGGTGAGCCGCCTGGAGCCCAGCGTCCAAGCTCAGATCCGGGAGGTGGACCCGCAGCTGCACACTGTCTACTTCAACAAGGGGCTGTGAGCACAAGGCCGCTGCGTCGCTGAGCTCAGAGCGTCCCAAGGATGCAGCTGCTGCCCTGTGGCCGCCTCCTGTCCCCAGGTGCTTGGGTATAGCTGAGCCCCCAAACCCAGCGGGCTCCCATCCTAGCACCTCCCCTGAGCTGTGCTTTGCTGCTCTCCCATCCCTTCATGGGGCTGTCCTGGGGGCCATCAGCCCGGTGCCAGGAGGAGGGGATATTTCCCTGGTGGCACAAGGCTACTGGCAGCAGGTCTGGGCACTGGGCATGCGGTGCTTCATGAGGGTAGGAACAAAGGCACCTCGTGTGCTGCTGCCATCCTCCTGCGGTGCTACACATTGCAGGGACCTTGGGCAATATCATGGGGTGGCTGTGCTGCTGGTGTCCCTGCAAGCTCTGACCCATGTCCTACCAGGCGTCTCCATCCTGCGTGTTTCCCATACCCAGTGTGTATGTGGCTGTGTTCAGGCTGTGTCCCATGGCATCCCCCAGGCTAGAGCCTCAGATGGATGCTCCCACCCTTGGGCATGGCATCCAGAGAACACAACCTCCCAGAAGCCAGGGCTGAGCACTATGAGATATACAGTGCAGTGGAGGAGGCCGCTCCAGCCTGGGTGTGCGTGCGCAGCTCCCCGTGCGCTCTGCTCTGTGCTGATCCAGGGCTGTAATCTGGCTTTCCCCGGAGCAAATGGCACATTTTAATCTCAGCAGTCCCCATTTTATTCCCTTTAATGCAGCCTTTGCTCAAGGCTCAGCTCCTGCGTGGCTTCCTCCATGGACCTTCTCATATGGCTTTAAGCACATCGTTGTTTCCTCTGGTTATTTTTGTAATACATACTCCATACCTGTATCTACCAAATAATAAAGGCAGGTTTGTTTATACAAAAGCAGAGAGAAGTCCCTTGCTTACCGCTGCCCATGCCATGGAAAGGGGCTGGGGGCTGCCATGGGGACACTATGGGATGGATGCTCAGCACAGAGCACACAGCACCCATTAGGGATGCAGGAGCAGCCCCCACTCCCCCCAGCCCCGGCATATTGCACATATCTCCCCCGAGCCAGCCATCGGCAGCTTATAAATAATGCAGCCCCTCGCCGTGCAATAAGGGCTTGTCAATTGCTGTTCTGCTCTCATAAATTAAAGATGAAAAGGTACAAGGCTCTTGCCAGAAAAATGAAGACAAATTTTTAATAGCTTGCCAAGACGCGGGGAGAGAGAGAGCGCTCAGGAAAAATGAATTACGTTTTTATTATGTGTTTTATTGTGGTGTAATTGAACGGGATTAGCTGAGAATACAATATATTTCCAGGGCAGAGCAAAGAAAATAAAAATAATGATGACACTTCTCCCCCCCCCCCCCCCCAACCTGTGCAGGGACAGCTCGTGCTGCTCTGGGAGCAGCAGATGTGGAGCTATGGATGGTGACACGCTGCAGGTGGCACCGCTGCCACCCTAGTGACACGGTCCTATCCCACAGGTCGCAGTGCTGGGGCTGTCAGGGTCGGCGGGGATGGGGGGCATCGATTGCTCCCTGGCATTGTTAATGAGCCGCCCAACCACAGGCTTTAACCTTGCCCATAATGAGGGCGAGCGGCAGCAATCCCTCCCGCTCCCCCAGCCTTAATGAGCTAATCAATACTTGTTCTCAGCTTAATTTCCAGCTAATTGCTCTTTAATGACGCCTGGAAATGGGCTGCCCGCTGGCAGGCTCCCCCCTCCCCACAGAGTGTCCCTGAGGTAAGGGGTGCCGGGTGGGGGGTCACCTTCCCCGGCTGCGTCCCCAAATCCCTATTACAGGGGGCACGACGTTGTACCCTTGGAGGGGTGTCCCCAGGGTGATGGCATGATGGGGGTGCTTTGAGGTGAAGATAGGTGTGGGGGGGCCGTGTACCTTGCAGGGACAGGGTCAGGCTGTGATGGCAAGGGGACGCAGACGAGGCCAGCAGCGCCCTGGAGGTGGCAGCAGAGACCCCATAGCCTGTCCCCACAGCTTCAAGAGCAGCGTCAGCCTCCAGGGCCCTGCAAGTGTTTAGGTCAGCAAATGCAAAGGACCCCGCAAACACTCTGACTGCAGCTCGTATGGAATGGGGCACCCTGTAGCAAAATGGGGACAGAGTTCCCAGTCCAGGTCCCCAGATCCCAGCCAGAAATGGCCCTCAGTGGAAGTGCTGGAAATGACCTCGTGGGTGGCGGACACACTGGTGGCAAGGAGAGCACCAGCACTAGGCTGGGAAAAGCAACAGCAACGGGCAATGCTATTTTCATGGGAGTGGGATTGCAGAGCACGGCCCCCTCGCCCCAACTTTGTAGGGCTGCATCCCATTGTAGAACCTGGCTGAGCTCCTACTTGCTCTGTGCCTGGGGTCAGGGGGGAGCCTGGTATGTGGCAGGGGGATGGGAACCGTGCTCTTGATCCCAAGGTGTCAAAGCTGGCAGGAGGATGCTGAGCAGAACGCTTGGGGAGAGGGCAGTCCCTACAGCCCCCAGGAAATGGATGACCCACAGAGGTGATGGACTGCAGAGTGCCCAGTGACAGTGTCCCTCACCACCCAGACAGTGCTGCTGGGGGCCCCCTGGGAAACCTGCATCCCTCCTGCACACAGCTGCAGCCGCTTCCCCAAGAATTTGCTGACGGGTTTGTTCTGGGCAGGAATTTGCTGTGGGGAAACCTGAGCCTGGTGGTGTGGGCCCTGCTTGGCACATGGGGTGGGGCCTCGTCCCCAACAGGGTCCAGTGGGATGCAGCCAGGACTCCACTGAGACACACGTGGAGCCAGGGTCAGAGTGGCAGGAAGCAGAGATGGGTATTGAGCTGAATCACAGGAGATTCAAGTTAGGATTAGAATCAGCCTCCGTGCTCTGAGAGCCATCCGGCGGGCCAGCAGCCCTGCTGACACGTGCTTTGCCCCGGGCGTCACGCAGCCTTCCGCCCTGCCAGAACTGACACAGTGTTGAGTCATCTGGCCCACGGCCTCTTTTCCAGGGTGGGATTTTGCTTGTCAGCCTCAGCCCGTTGGGATCAGCCAGGACATCAGCCCAGGGCATGGCCGGGGCAACCTGGGATGGGCATGGAAGTAGTGATGGGTGAACATGTTAGAACCCAGGAGGGATGCCACAGCTGAGGAGCATCGCAGGGGACCATCGCTGCGGGTAATAGTGATGAGAGCAGGTGGAGCCTTCCCACAGCCCTGAGATGTGCTATGCAATGAGGTACACTGACTGAACCAGAGCACAGCTCCTCATTAAGCACAGGTTAGATCTCCCACCCCCCTAATTCAGAGCTGCTGATATTTATTAGCACATTCAACAGTCTCATTAAGCGGGATGTTTAATTACCTGCCAGGCTGGGGCTCCATCTTTTTCCCAGAGATGAGCTGAGCTGTTTCCAGGTGCTGGTTTGGGCAAAGGCAGCACTAGACATAGGGATGTCCCAACTAAGTGGCACAGTTCCTCCCAGCTCCCCCTCTCCAAAATACTCCTGGAGGTGCACAAAGTGGTACCTCAGCCCCCTCAGTTCCCAAAACAGCCTCAGCAGTGCTCCTCCAGCCTCAGCTGCCCCAAATCCCACAGCTCCCAGCCCAGCCATGGGGCTGGGGGCCACCAAAGGGGAAGCAGAACCGGCAGGAAGCCCCTCAGCAGCACAAAGCCTTGTGCATTTTCCATCCTTAGCCTCAGCCAGATTTGTAGCATGCCTGAACGAAAGCTCCGGAGCCCAGAGTGGATTTGCAGCAGAGTTTTGGAAAGCAAAAGCAGATTTTTGCGGTGCAGAGAAAGAAACCAGATCCATCGAGGGGTCCCGGGATGGTTTTGGCTTTGCAGATTTGCCACAGAAGCAAATCTCACAAATTCTTTGCAGGGAGTTGAGAGGAGGGGGAGAGGGGGGGTGGGGGGTGGGGGGGGCTGCAGGCTCCCCCAGCACAGCGCTTATGCTCAGCCTAGGACAGAGGTGAGTGCCTTTGTAGATCCCACTGGGGAAACTGAGGCACGGGGGCTCTGGAAGCTGTGTGTTGCTGACGGATGGAAGATCCCGGCCCGGCAGGGAAGGGGTGGCCGCCAGCGCAGGGCCCGTCCGGAGCTGGGCCGGGGCCCGCGGGGGGCGTGGGGACTGGCGTGGCGCTGACATCACGGCCGGTGGCAGCGGAGCCCCGCGCCGCGCGGCTGCCAAAGCCATTGTGCATCGCAGCCGTCGGTGGGGCCCGCACCGCGTTCCGGTAAGTGCTGTCGCGAGTGGGACCCTCACCCCGGGACAACCCTCATAGAGATTCAGGGTAGCGTTGTATCGTCTGCCCCTTTCCTGGCCCCTTTTCCTGGGGTTGGAGCTTTCCTCCCTGCAGTCCGGGGACAGGGAGGGAGGGCAAGCAGGATCCCCCCCCCACCCCCCCGCCCCTTTTCCCCCGCTGCCGGGGGGTCTCCGGTTAATGAGGCAGAACTCTGCTCTCCCTTTTGTAATCCAGGGGGTAACAAATCCCTGTCAGGCTTACTTTGGGCTGCCTTAGTCCGGCTCCTGTGGGGCTACCAGGGGGCTGAAGCCCCGCTAGGGGAGTGGGGGCTCCCAGAAGGGGGTCAGGTGCGTCTCTCCATGCTGGATTTTACCTCTCTGCCTCCACTTGCTGCAGGGCAGATGGCTGTAACTTCACTCTGCCCCTCCAGCACAGGAGGTGAAAGCTGGGGGCTGGGGGAGGGCACAGCTCAGATGGACCTGCACATCCTCCCCAGCAGAGATGGGATGCCTGAGGGCCGATTGGCCCCTCTGCTTGCTGCAGGAGAGGGGTTGACATAGGCTGGGGGGTGAGAACCCCGTTGTTCTCACTTGCGCACCGAGTTCCCTGGTGCTCAGCCACCAGTGTGATAACTGTGGAATTTGCAGAGTTTTCCTGGTGTGGCTAGATGTGGGGCTCAGAGCAGGGAGAGGAGGACAAAAGCCAGGCATGATTGGGAGCATCCTTCTGGCTACATTCCCCTGGGCTGGCTGCCTCCTGCATGGAAAGAGCCCTTCATCTGCTTCTCTGGGCAGTGATGGAGGGAAAAATCCTCATGACTTTTGAGGAGAGGTGAGAAAAGGAGAGGGGTGCCTGGCTCCAGAGCTGCTCCCTGAGAGGAGCAGAGCACAAAGCAGTCAGGAGAATATGAGGCAGCCCCTCAAGTGGGATTACAACAGGCTGTGTTCTACCTGCTGGGGGAGAAGGCTGAAGCCTGTGGGTATGGGTCAGCATCCAATCAGGGAAGAGGATGAAGGGGTTGTACAGCAGCACATTTTGGGAGTGGGGGCCGCTTCTGTAGTGTGGTAGGAAGTGGAGGATCCCGAGATGTGGCACATCACACAGTGCTGCTATCACATGTTCTCTTCCTTGCAGATAGCGATGGCCGCTTGGCTCTGACCCATCCAAATCTCCACCCGAGTGATGCTGGAACCGGGCTCTGGGAGCGGCCACGAGGATGCCTGAGGTGCTGAGCTCCTCCTGCCTGCTGCTCTCCCTGCTCACCCTGCACTGGGCTTGCCTCCAACCCGGCCGAGCTTTCCCCAGCAGCGCTGAGTACCTGCAGCGGGGCTGGCAGCGGCTGCTGGAGGAGGGTGAGGGCTGTGCCGAGTGCCGGCCAGAGGAGTGCCCAGTGCCGCGCGGCTGCCTGGCCGGCACGGTGCGGGACGCCTGTGACTGCTGCTGGGAGTGCGCCAATCTGGAGGGACAGATCTGCGACCTGGACAACACCAACCACTTCTATGGCAAATGCGGGGAGCACCTGGAATGCCAGCTGGAGGCTGGAGACCTGCAGCGTGGCGAGGTGCCTGAGCCCCAGTGTGCCTGCCTCTCGCACCAGGCGCTGTGCGGCTCCGACGGGCGCACCTACCCCCAGATCTGCCGCTTCCTCGAGTCTGCCCGTGCCCACCCCGATGCCAACCTCACCGTGGTCCATGAGGGTCCCTGCGAGGCAGGTAGTGCGTGAGGAGAGGGAGCGCAAGGATGGGAGGTTGGCTTCGATATTTCAACCAGAGGCCCCGCTGCAGTGGGTCTGGTGCAGGGGGAGGCTGTGCCAAGTCGGCTCGGGATTTATGGGAGGCAGTGAGCACTGCCGGCTGGGGCAGAGCCAGGCGTCGTTAGCGAGCTTTTGGCTGCAGCGTGCATGGAGTGTGGCTGGGGCCAAGGAACGCCCCAGGAACGTGGCTCCTTCATGGAAAGCTGGGCCAGGTCAGGGGGCTGCACTGCTTCCATCTCCCATTTGAAGCCATGTGTGTGACTATGGGGCTTGGGACAACCCTCTGACACCACTCACTGCAGCTCAAGGAGGGGATTGGGGTTGTCTTTGTTTTCTGTATCTTGTGGTGTCTTTGAGCTTTTTCCCTCTTGGCTGCCAATAAGAGCTGGGACAGGCACAGGGAGAGGAGAGATTTGTGGCCAGGACAGGAGACCTGAAGGCTGCATCACAGGGGAGCTCCTTGTTCAGGTGGGGGAAGTGAGGCTGGGAGGAGTTGGAGCCCTCCATGGGTCACTGGGGAGCTGGGGGGTGACCTTCTGCAAGTATGTGTGAGGAGAGGGGAATGGGAAGGGTCCTGGCATCACTACCAGAGCCTGATACCCTCAGCCCAGTATTCTTCCCTGTCTCCTCCCCATCTTCTATTCCCAGAGCCTCAAATCACCTCCCCTCCTTATGATGTGTGGAATGTCACTGGCCAGGATGTCATCTTTGGCTGCGAGGTCTTTGCCTACCCCATGGCGTCCATCGAGTGGAGGAAGGATGGCACAGAGATGCTGCTGCCAGGAGATGACCCCCACATCTCTGTCCAGGTGAGCGGCTGGCATAGGGGATGGTGACCGAGATGTAAAAACATATCTGGTCATTGCTGAACTTGTATACATGGGACTGCACAGGGGGATCAGCCTGGTTCATCTCTGCTTACCATGCATGCATTCTGCCTGTGGCCAGCCCCAAATATAGCTCTCTTGGGTCATACCCAGCTATTATAGGGTGTGGATGGAGGCATCCTCCATCCCTGGCCACTGCACTGAAATAGCTGCCTGCAAACACAGCTGCAGCACAGCTGGGGCCGGAGGAAGCTGTTTCTTGCTGGGGACAAACAGGACATAGCACAGTTGGCGCCAGGGAGCTTAGGGCTGGCTCCCACCCCAGAGCAGTGCTTAATAGGGTAAAGAGAGTTTCTCCACATCCCACTCCTCACAACCCCAAAGGGTCATCCCAAAGGGGGTTCCCTCACCCTGGGACTCACTGCTGTCTCTCCCTTTGCAGTTCAGAGGTGGCCCCCAGAAGTATGAGGTGACCGGCTGGCTGCAGATCCAGGGCGTGCGGGTGACAGATGAGGGCACGTACCGCTGCTTCGCCAGGAACAGGGTCGGGGCTGTGATGGCAGTGGCCAGCCTGACCGTCCTCACTCCGGGTGAGCAGAGGGAGGGGACCTTTGGGCAGGGCGCTGGCTTTCAAGGGTGGCAGTGTCACAGAGTCCCCGTGCTGCTGTTTCAGACCAGCTCAACCTGACGGGTTTGTCCTTGCCGGAACCCCGTGCCGTGCCTGAGGACTACGTGGACAGCGAGGAGGAGTACTACTAGCCCAGCTGCGGAGCTTGGCACTGAGCAGCACTCGCCCCATGGTGCTTTGGGGTCAGGGATGGATCCAGAGCACACACCCCAGCCCTGAACAACTCTCTGAACACTTCTGTTTTGGGCTGGAGACAGAGAATCAGAGAATGGCCTGGATTGGAAGGGACCTCAAGGATCATGAATCTCCAACCCCTCTGCCACAGGCAGGGCCACCTCCCCATTTAATACTAGAACAGGTTGCACAGGGCCCCATCCACTCTGGCCTTGAACACCTCCAGGGACGGGGCATCCACAACCTCTCTGGGCAGCCTGTTCCAGATGACAGTGTGGCTTGTGTGTCACCCTCAGGCAGGGACACCCAGGAGCTTGCTGCCAAAACACCCTTCTTTCCCATCTTGTTCTTAGCCAGAAAAGTAGTGATTTGAGGCAACCTGACATTTGTGGTTTCACCCCTGGACAATGTTGTCCTGAAAGCCCACGTGGCCACAAACGCTTTGGCCTTTTTGGATTGGCTTTATGCTTCTTCTCCCAAGCAGCTCTCTATGCTGACATCTCAGTGAGTGATGAGCCAAGTGTACACGCAATGCTCTGAGCAACCAACAGGGATCGTCCCATGGGGTCCCTCCAGGTTGGCTGCTCTCCTTCCCTTTCTTCTTTCTTTCCTTCCTCTTTCTCTTGAGAGCTGGCTCAGACGATGCAATTACAGCATCAAAACCTGAGCGAGCAAATAAAAGGGGTTTGTCTGAAGTTGGCAGCGGCCTGAAATTCCTTCAGCCGGTAAGGCTGGGCTGGCCTCTACCCATGCTGCAGCCAGCAGTAATGCCTCCCCAACCCCACCAGGTCCCTGCACCTCTGCGGTGTCTCCTGGGCTCTTTCCATGATGGTGAATTCCGTGGAGCTGGGACAGCCCTGGCTCCTGTGCTGCTTCTGCTGCTGCCTGAGCCGTTTTCCCCCACTGCTAATCCCCTCCCTGTTCTGTACACCAAGTGTTTGTGGAACTGGGCCATGCTGTGGCTGTGGCTGCAGTAGGGAAACCTGAGAGCATCCCATGGCTCGGAGCCACCTGGCCCTTTGCTGGCCCCTAGCCATGCTCCTGTGCCAGCCCTGCCTGTGCCACTGCGTCACCAGGCTGGTGGGGACTGAGGGGCTGGAGCCCATCCATAGGGCAGCAGCTGCAAATGCGGGTCTCCACTCCCTGCAAGGCAGTGGGGTTGGTGTCCCCTGTGCCACTTAAAAATTAAAGGAGCTGATATCGCTATGTGCCTGGAATCGGTCACTGCCACAGAGCATAATTGAGGTTATTTGTTGCCTCTGAAATGTTTGGTCAGCTCTGCACGGGTGCCTCCTTGAGGGATGCATGAGGATAATGCTCAGCTCCGGGCACCTAGAGGGTTCTGGGGATCTGGGGAGCCTCACTAATATGGCCACCAGGTGCACATGCCCCAGCACCTCCTGTCTGCCCAGGCCACTCCATGATACCAAAGGCTGTTGCAGGGCTGGGGACAAAGGAAAGGGTCCCATCCTGCTGTCACCCAGGGATGTGCGCTGAAGGAGCGGTCAAACCTCCACCAAACCCAAAGCCCTGTAGGGTACATGCAAGGTTGGTGCTTCTTTGTCACCCCAAATGTTTTGGCTGCTCTGGTTGCGCACTCACAGATCAAGCTCTGGAATCAGTTGCTTTCTGCCACAGACCTGTGGTTTCTTGAGCCCAAATCCACAGTGCATGCAACCCCTGCTGCTGGGTTTTTCCACAGCCTCTTGCAGAAAGGCACATTCTGATCCACAGGACGCTCCAGGACCAGGATGGTGACTGCCCAGGGGTGACACGAGGGTGCCCTAATGGACACTCTCAGTGCTCGTCCCACCCTCGCGTCCTGGTGCTGCTAGCGGCTTGTTCAGGCGCACGCATCCTGAGCAGCCATCAAACCACGGGGAGCGGGAGCTGCAGTCCTCCCAGCAGCTGCCGCCGTCCTTCCCCGGACTCGGGGGACTGCAGTGCTGTCCCCATCCACCGCCGAACAGTGCCACCTCCCGGCGGAGCCACCGCGGGACGCGGAGCTGAGCACCCGATGCAGCTCCCTCGCTTGGCCGCGGGGAAACTAAGGCGCGGAGCAGCCAAGCTATAGAGACTCAAGTGCTGCGGCCACCTGCGAGCAGGACCTCTGTCCCCAGCCTGTCCCACACCCTGGGAACAGCAGCATCTCTTGTACCCTCTGCACGGTGACCCCTCCTCACCCCAATTCAGGTTGAAGAAGAGCATTTCCCTGCCTCTGCCCAGCACTTACGCTGGCTGATAAATAAAATGGAAACTAATCCTCCAGTGTTTGCAGCAAATGGGTCTCCACGGGGGGTGGCTTTCAATAATTCGAATGCCGCCGCAGCGCAGAGCCCACGCCAATGGGTTTTAATAAACACTGCCGTAATGTGACATGCAATTTATTATTCAGCTTAAAACAGGAAGCAAAGAGTTTAATAACAGCGGCAGGTTGCCATCTCTGGCACTGCGAGGTGCTGGCTGAGAGGGGGTGGCACGTCCCCCAAACTGAGGCGCTGGGATTTGGGTATGCTTTGGGGAGTGCTGGTTTGGCTGTGCCTGATGCCTGGGGGGTTATCTGGGCAGTGTGGGGGGATGGCCTTATCGCAGAGCTGGCTGCTGTCTCTCCTCACGGTGTTTTTGGCCCTGGGGCTGTTCTCTGTCACTTCTCTGGTCCGTAACAGCCGGAGGCAGGCGGAAATGGGAGCCTCCGTGCCTGGTCCCTGCTGCTTCCAAAGTGGGGAGATCTGGCTCACAGTTACCACGCCTTTGGCTTGGCAGGCCTCAAAGTGTGAGTGATGGCAGCAGCCGCTGCACCCATGAAGGTTGGGGGATTCCTGTGCTCTTCCACAGCTTGCCAGCCCCACGCCCCGGGGAAACTGCAGCTCCTGGGTGAACAACCTGTAAATTCACACCCCAGATCTGGGATGTCCTGGGAGTGCAGTGATGGACTGGAGCACATCAGAATGGGTCTCCTGACCTTGAGTCACCCCAAACCCCACCTCTCTCTCTCTGCCACCCACCCACGGTTATGGAAGGGTTAAGCTGAAGGTCCCAGCTGAGCAAGTGCTCTCTGGGACATCCCGCAGCTGCCCAGTGTCCCCTCTGCCCCTGCCCTTATCCATCTCTCTTATGCACCAGGGCAGGATCAGGGTGCTTCCCTCTGCCTCCTGATGAGGAGCAGAGCTGGTGGAAGTGGGGATGGGGTCCATAAAAAGGAATCCCTGTTCCTGGATCGGGGGCCAGCATCTGGGCAGGGACATTTTGCTTGTCCTGTGCCACAGCATCCCTAGCAGCACGGATGCTGCCTTGGATGTGCTGTTTAATTAAATGTGAAGGGCTCCCGTGCTTCAGCCCTTGCTGCAGCCTGAGCGACTTCAGGAAAGAGGCCTTTTATTAAAAGAGAGAGAGGCTCTGCCAGGCAGCCATCAAACAGCACATTTAATTGTCTCGGCTTGTTTAGCTGTCGTGCTGGGAGGGATGTGCTCCCATCCAGGTCCCCAGGCTGTGCAGCTCAGGAGGATTGCTGGGGCTGGGAGCTGCACCTGGGGTACCAAGCCCACAGCTTCATCCTGGGGGAGAATATTTGGTGCTGTGTTTGGTCTCCAGGAGAGAGCCACAGCTTTCCCCTGTCTGGGCCAGGCTAGAACTCAGCACTGGGAGAGGAAAACAAAGATCAAGAGGGGGAGGAAGTGTGGGCTTTTATCAAAATCTCCTACTTCAAAGTTGTCCGGCTGAAGTGCTCCCCTTTGGTTTAATTTGAAGTGATGTTTCCTTCAGCGACTGCAGTAAATGGCATCAAATGAGGCTGAAGCAGCCGGAAAGCCTGGAGAGGAAGCATGTCCTTGGGGAACGGCTGGAGTCAGACCTTCCCTGCGGGTTCAACCACAAGATGGGGACAGGAGGTGGAGCTCCTGCCCTGTCCTGGGGCTCTGCAGAGGGGCTTTGGGTCCAGTTGCTTCCAGCCCCATTACTGCAGTGTTGTCTGCCCCTATCCCACTAGGGCAACCCCTGGTTTTGAGGGTGATGCAGCTGCAGCTCTACCCTGGTGCATCCCCCAGCCCGCAGCCCCTGGGGCTTTGGCAGCCCCTCCACATGGCTGAGAGCTAAACCAGACCGCAACAAGCTGCAGGCGACTTGCAGGGGAAGGGGCACAAATCCATCTTCCTGATGGAGAACTCTGGGCTGCCTTGAAACTGAAGAGGATATTCCCCTTCTCCCTGCTCCCATGGCCAGGGAATCGCCCCTCTTTAGAAGTATAAGAAGGATGAGCAGAACCATATTCCCTTCTCCCATCCTGGCATCCCTGCTCCAAGATGACAGGTCACTTCTTCCTCCCCATGCCCCCTCCTCTGCCTCCCCCAGCTCCGCTAAGCGCTCCTGGCTGCTCTGGGATGATGCAGGCGGGCGCAGAGTTCATGGGAGTCGTACCTGTGCTTTGTCTTCATCTGTCACCCCTGCTGACAGTCAGATCCATCTTAAACTGGGAGCGAGAGGGGAAGAGAGGGAAGCAATAATTAACCTCTGCGCGGGCCGCTCCCGAAATGCCGCGCTCTGGTGATGCACGAGGAGACGGCAGTGACACTTTTATTGCTGCTCCAGCGCTGCGCAGCGCGTGGAGGAGGTGATGTGGCTGAGCTGGGACACCTGAGGCTTTATTATGGCAGAGGATCCATGGGGCACGTGGCTCAGTTGGGGTGTGGGTCGGTGGTCTGCATAGGCCGTGGGGGGAGATTTGGAGCTCTAGGTTGATGTGGCAATACATGACATGCAACTGGACCTTGTCCTGGCACTGCTGGGACTGTCAGAGCAGTGGCAGCACTTTCCTGCATACCGATGCCCACTCAGCAGCTGTTGCAGTTTCATCTATTAGAAAAGTGAGAGCAAATCAGTGCCAGCTATGCTTGCAGCCAAACCCCAGGTTGTGCCAATCCAAAGGGGCTCTTGGCACAGCCAGGGAGGCACTAAGCCCAGGTGGGTTGGCATCCTGGCAAGGGGCAGCACCCTGAACTGCAAGCATCGCAGTGAGCCCCAGAACAGAACACAGCCACTGCACTGAAGCAGATATCACCTGTATGAGTTGGAGATGGGGGAAACTGAGTCATGGAGGGTGGGACTGATGTCTCTAAGTCTCATACATTTCCTTCTTCTAATTGCAAGGGCATCTGCCAGCACCAGGGAAAACTAGCCAGTTTATCTTTGCAGGGACACTTTGCCAGGGCAGAGGGAGAAAACTCCTCTTAACACCATAACCAACCTGACAGGCTGCAGGCAGGGCCATGCACAAGTTCTGCCAGCTCCCTGCATTGAGCAGCGTTAAGCTTGACCACTCCCTGCACAGATGGGGGTTTAATCAGCCCCAGTTTAAGCACATGGGTGTTCAGTGCTAATCCAATTTCCCTCCATTCATTAGGATGGTTATTCATCACTTGGGAATGATGAAAGCCTGCGGGTCTGTGTGGGTGCTGGGGAGCAGTACCGCTTGATGCCAGCATGAGGCTGAGCATCCTTCCCATACTGACCACCAGCAGGGATGGGGATGGTCCCTCAGCCCCTGAGCTGCAACAAGGTGCGAGCTAGGATTGCTCTGCTGGGATCTGGGGCTGAGTTATCCTCAGGGTCATCCATCAGCTGGCTGCGATAGGAGCTGATCTACAATGGAATGTACCCAGGTGGAGGGATGCTGAGCTAGGAGAGGGGTGGGAAGATATTT